AGTTGAAGACTCATGAGAAGACCTACCCTGTCCATGACCTTGAGTTAGCAGCTATTGTGCATGCCTTAAATATTTGGCGGCACTATTTGTACGGGGTTCATTATGAGATTTATATTGATCACCGGAGTTTGCAGCACCTGTTCAAGCAGAAGGATCTTAATTTTCTCCAGCGGAGATGGTTGGAGCTTCTCAAGGAGTATGATATCACTATTTTGTATCATCCGGGGAAGGCCAATGTGTAGGCCGATACGTTGACTCGCCGGGCGGAGAGTTTGGGGAGTTTAGCATACCTTCCAGCAGCAGACAGACCTTTGGCATTGGATGTTCAGGCCTTAGCTGGCCAGCTTGTCAGATTGGATATTTCGGAGTTAAGTCGGGTATTGGCTTGTGTGGTCTCCAGGTGTTCTCTTTATGATCGTATCAGGGAGCGTCAGTATGATAACCCCCCACCTGCTCGTTCTTAAGGACAGGGTTCAACGAGGTAATGCTAGAGATGTGACTATTGGTGATGATGGCGTGTCATGGATGTAGGGCCAGATATGTGTACCCAATATGGATGGGCTTCAGGAGTTGATTCTTGAGGAGGCCCACCGCTCGCGGTATTCCATCCACCCGAGTGTCGCGAAGATGTACCAGGATTTGACACAACACTATTGGTGGAGGCGGATGGAGAAGGATATAGTTGGGTTTGTGGCTCGGTGTCTCAACTGTCAGCAGGTTAAGCATGAATATCAGAGACCGGGTGGTTTGCTTTAGAGGTTAGAGATTCCAGAGTGGAAGTAGGAGTGGATCACCATGGACTTCATAGTTGGGCTCCCACAAACTTCGAGGAAGTTCGATGCTATTTGGGTTATTGTGGATCGACTGACCAAGTCCGCGCACTTCATTCCAGTTGATACTACTTACTCTTCAGAGTGGTTGGCTGAGATTTACATTTGAGAGATTGTTCGCCGGCATGGTTTCCCAGTTTCCATCATTTCAGATAGGGGCATTCAGTTTACATCGCAGTTTTGGAGGGCCGTGCAGCAAGAGTCGGGTACTTAGGTGGAGTTGAGCACAACCTTTCACCCTTAGACGGACGGACAGTCAGAGCACACTATTCAGATATTGGAAGACATGCTATGTGCTTGTGTCATCGATTTTGGGGTTTATGTCACCAGTGTCTGCCGTTTGTGGAGTTTGTATATAACAACAGTTATCAGTCGAGCATTCATATGGCTCCGTACGAGGCTTTATATGGAAGAAGGTATAGATCTCCAGTAGGATGATTTGAGCCGGGTGAGGCTAGGCTCTTGGGTACAGATTTGGTCCAGGATGCATTAGACAAGGTGAAATCGATTCAGGAGAGGCTTCGCATGGCGCACTCTAAGAAGAAGAGCTATGAAGACAGGAAGGTCCATGATGTGTCTTTCATGTTCGGCGAGAAGGTTTTGCTGAAGGTATTACCCATGAAGGGTGTTATGAGGTTTGGGAAGAACGGCAATTTGAGCCCTCGATTCATTAGGCCTTTTGAGGTACTTCAGAGGATAGGGGAGGTGGCTTACAAGCTTGCCTTGCCACCTAGCTTGTTGAGTGTGTATCCAGTATTTCATGTTTCTATTCTCCGGAAGTATATCAGCGATCCGTACCATGTTTTGGATTTCAGCATGGTTCAATTGGATAGTGATATGACTTATGATGTGAAGCCGATGGCCATTTTGGAGTGGCAAGTTCGGAAGTTGAGGTCAAAGGATATAACTTCAGTGAAGGTGCAGTAGAGAGGTCAGCATGTAGAGGAGGCCACCTGGGAGACTGAGCGGGAGATGCAGAGCAGATATCCACACCTATTTGAGGCTCCAATTATGTTTCTAGACTCGTTCGAGGATGAACGTTTGTTTAAGAGGGGGAGGATGTAATGACCCGGCCGGTCGTTTCGAGAGTTATAGCCCCGTTCCCTCATTTCCTATATTGGAGTGGTTTCGGAGTGAATTAAGGCACATAGTCTCTTATTTGAGAGCTTAAGTTGGAAGAGTTGATCAGATGTTGACTTATGTGTAAACGACCTCGGATTTGAATTTTGATAGTTTCGTTATCTCCATTAGGTGATTTTGGACTTAGGAGCGCGTCCGGAAGGTGATTTGGAGGTCTGTGGTAGAATTAGGCTCGAATTGGCAAAAATTAAAATTTTGGCGATTTTGGCCGGCAGTGGAAATTTTGATATCGAGGTTGGATTGGATTTCTGGAAGTTGGAGTAGGTTCTGTCATTTCTAACTTGTGTACAAAATTTGAGGTCATCCGGACGTGATTTGATAGGTTTCGGCATCGTTTGTGGAGTTCGGAAGTTTAGAAGTTCTTAGGCTTGAATCCGGGCGTAATTTGGTGTTTTGATGTTGAATTGATTGATCCGAAGGTTCGACTAAATTTGTATAAGGTTATAGGATATGTTGGTATGTTTGGTTTATGTCCCGAGGGACTCGGTGTGATTCCGGGTGGTTAATGGAAGAATTAGAGTTGATGAAATGAAGCTGAAGCTGCTGGTTCTGGTGTCTTCCGCACCTGCGAAGTGGGAGCCGTAGGTGCGAGCCCACAGGAGCGACTGAGGCGCCGCAGATGCGGCCATGGAGGATCTGGGCAGGAACCGTAGGTACGAAGGTATTCCCGTACCCGCGTGAGTCGCAAATGCGGGCAGTCAGGCGCATGTGCGGGTTTTGACCGCAGAAGCGAGAGAGTTTTCGCACCTGCGTAAGGCGCAGATGCGGTCTTGAGGCCGTAGAAGCGAAGTCAGGATTTTAAGGGAAATCCGCACCTGTGATGGAATTTCCGTAGGTGCGGCGATGCAGAAGCGATCAATGGACCGCATGTGCGGTATTGCTGGGCAGAAAAGCACCAGCTTGAGGTTTTGCCATTTATTTTCAATTTTGGACTTGAGAAACTCGGGAGAGAGGCAATTTTCGAAGATTTTCAAGGAGCAACATTGGGGTAAGTGATTCTAACCCATAATGGTATAACTTTCATGAATCTATGGCTTTATTCATCATCTAATTAGGGATTTGAGCTTGAAATTTGAGAGTTTAGGGCTTGAGAATTGGAGAGTGGATTTTGGGGATTTGAATGACCAAATGAGGTCGGATTTTGATAAATTTGGTTTGGTTAGACTCACGAGTGAATAGGCTTTCGGGTTTTGTGATTTTTGTTAGATTCCGAGACGTATGCCTGGGGGTCGGGTTTGAGCCGATTTCGGATTTTGGCTATAATTTGGTATTTTCCTTGTGGAATTGATTCCTTTAGCATATATTGATCGTATTGCATTACTTGTGGCTAGATTCGGGACGTTCGGAAGCCGAATTGAGAGGCAATGGAATTCCGGAGTAGGACTTTGCTTGGTTTGAGGTAAGTAACATTTTTAAACTTGGTTCTGAGTGTTCGAGACCCCAAATTATATGTTATGTGATTGGTATTGAGGTGACGCACATGCCAAGTGACGGGCGTGCGGGCGTGCACCGTGAGAATTGTGACTTGGGTGATTCCATGGCACCATTTAGTGATTCTATTCTGTTGATATCTATGTTTTTCATCAGGTGATAAAGTAGTTGAGTTATAGATCGTGCTAGATATCATGTTTAGGCTTTGTGCCGGTATTGGTTTGACCCTTAGCGGTCGTTTCTTGATGTCATCTCACTAGTTTCATTTACTATTCCATACTCAGTCATGATCATGCATTTTTATATCATATCTCGGTCTCAGTTATTTATTGATTCATCATATCATTGATCCGAGTTGTTTTCATGACATTGTGAGCCCGTGGTGAGACTGGAGAGGTTGATGACTGAGTGAGGCCGAATGTCTGGTTATGAGTGACAGTTATGGGATCGGGCTGCACGCCGCAGTGGTTATATTGATGATTATGATAGCACTTGGGCTGTAAGAGCCCCTCTGAAGTCTGTAATACACCCCCAGTGAGCGCGAATTATATTATTGAGGGATGGATTTCCCTGGACATGGATTTGCCTGAAGTACTTGATACATGGAGATGAATGTTTCCACAGGGTTGGATTGCCCTTTTTCCTCGGTACTGGTGACTTATAGTCAGTGTTGTATATGTTTCGGGATGGATTTCTCTAGGCCAGATGGACATATACAGTACCGAGTGGTCGAATACTTGAGAGTGGAGCATATGGTGCATTTCATACAGTCTGTGCATTGGCATGTAGAGATAGCTGAGTTGTATACCTTACAATGTTCAGATCTGTATTTCCTTTACTGTTTGAGCTGTATATTTGACTTGAAAGCATGCCTACATTTCTGCACATTTATTTCTGTTATACCTGTTGAGGTTGAGTTCGTCACTACCTTTCAGTCCAAAGTTTTGACTTGTTAATTACTGAGTTGGTGTACTCACGTTACTCCCTGCACCTTGTGTGCAGATCCAAGCATTTCTGGTCATGGCAGCGGCTGCTGATTTTTCTGCATTTGGTGTTAGGGATTATTGAGGTAGCTGCATGACGTTCGCGGACCTCGATTTTTCTCTTCCTTAGTTTATTTGTTCTTTTGAGTTTAGTTCTATAGACATTTTCGTGGACTATGTTCCGGTTATTAGACGCTCATGTACTCAGTGACACCCTAGTTTTGGGCTGGATTGTACCACTTTGGGATTTTCATATGTTTTAAATAGTTTTTCTTAAATGTTAAATGCTTCCGTTAACATTTCCAAACTTTTTGTTGTTGGTGTTGGGTTGTTGAGTTGTGGCTGGCCTAGTTCCACGATAGGCGCCATCACGACGGTTGATTTTGGTTCGTGACAAAACTTTATGGTTTTGGAGTATTTATTTCACTGCATTTTCTCTCTTATTCGCTTTGTTGAACTTTATTAAATTTTCTACTCCTTATTTTCTTAATCAATGAAGTTTCAATTACTTGGAAATTTATTAAAAAGAACAATTACATGGTTAGTTCACAGTTGGCTTGCCTAGCGGCAACGTTGGGCACCATCACGTCCTATAGGAGAAATTGGGTCGTGATACGCGCTAGGGAACTGAAGCACAGCAAGTGAAGTACACTGTCCATCCAAAGCTGGAAATTCCGCTTTGCTAGCTTTTGTCCCTTTAAAGCTTGTAATAACACTGCCAAAAATTCCGCGCATGCCTGTGAAGTTGAAAACATTCCCATCTAATGTGTCTCCAGTTCGATTTTCAGGAATAATGAAGTCGGTCAAGATATCTGGATCGCCTGCTTGATCCATCCAACTACGTGCAACGACACTCAAAACAAAGATATGATCTTAAACAACAAGATTTAATTTCACGACCCAAAACTTAGCCTGTCGTGATGGCGCCTATCGTGGTACTAGGCAAGTCGACACCTCAAAAATATTTCCGACACTTTTAAATGAAAAATGAAATAACATAAGTTTAAATAGTTAAAGCTCTCATAAACTGGAAAGAAAGTCAAAACTCAATACGGAAGTTCCCAAAACCAGGGTGTCACTGAGTATATGAGCGTATATACAACACAAGTCTAAAAATACTGTCTATGAAAAACTGAAACTAAATACATAAAGCTAACAGATAGGGAGGGAGAGTCAAGGTCTGCGAACACCGGACAACTACCTCAAAATCTCCGAACACCCTCCGTGTCCGGTAACACTTGGTTCTGAATACGAAGTGCAGAGCGTAGCATGAGTACAACCAACTCAGTAATTAATAAGACTAACTATTGGACTGAAAGTAGTGACGAGCTTCACGAAAACAGTTCAAGTACAGAAAATTACAATACAGGAAAAATAGGCATGCTTTCAAGTTCTACATTTAAAGCCAAAACAGTTAATTCATGTCAAGTTCAACGGAAACAGGATATGGCATCTCTCAGAAACTACATGATAGTGATATATGCCAGCTAAAGTACACAGTAATGAAATCAAGTGCATATTCTCAGAGTAACAGTCACTCAGTTCCCCCATTCACTCCAACCTCACAGTCACTCATTCATCACAGTCTCTCATTTCTCGCAGTCAGTCAGCACTCGCACTCGCACTCGCACTCAGTAGGTACCTGCGCTCATTGTGTGTGTGCAGACTTCGGAGGGGCTCCTTCAGCCGAAGCGCTATAATAAGCCAATCATGGCATAGATCAATAAAATATGTTGCGGCATGCAACCCGATCCCAATAAATATCCATACAATCAGGCCATCGGCCTCCCTCAGTCATCAATCTCTCCAGCCTCTCGGGCTCTCAATAATCATGATAATCAGCCCAAACAGTGATGATATAATGCATCAATAAAGAACAACAGAGACTGAGATGTAATATACGAGCAAAAACTGTGACTGAGTATAGAGTGGCAATTTAACAAATAATTCAACATGTAACACGACCTCTAGGGGCCCTACAATATCAACACATAGCCTAAGCATGATTTCTAACATGATTTGCAGTTCAATTTCTATAACACATCGAGAATATACAGATAACAACAATTATTCAACTATACAGTTCCATGGAATTGACCGAGTCACAATTACTGTGGTGCACGCCCACACGCCCGTCACCTAGCATGTTCGTCACCTCAACACCAATCACATGACACAAAATTTGGGGTTTCATACCCCCAGAACCAAGTCTAGAATTGTTACTTAATTCAAACCGTGCAAATCCCTACTCCAACACGCCCTTGCCTTGCGAATGGGCCTCCAAATGCCTCGAATCTAGCCACAAACAGTTCGATACAATTAACACGGGCTAAATGAATCAATTCCATAAGAAAATACTAAGTTATTAATCAAAAGTCAAAAAGTCGACTGAAACGTCGGCCCTCGGACCCACATCTCAGAATCCAATAAAAGTCACAAAATCCAGAAGCCCATTCCGCCACGAGTCTAACCATACCAAATTTACCAAAATCCAACACCAAATCGACACCCAAATCCCCAATTTAAACTCTCTAAATCCCTAGCCTCAAACCCCTAAATTATACCTCATGGGAAATTTAATGGGAAAACATAATTATTAAATGAATTTGACAACAAGTGACTTACCTCAAGAAACCCCTCGAAAATCCTCTGACAAATCGCCTAATCCCGAGCTTGGAATGTTCAAAATGAAGAAAAATTGCGAACCCTTGAATTTAAGGTTCCGCCCAGCCCTTTTCACTTCTACGAAAACTTAACCGCATCTGCAGCATCGCAGATGCGACAATACTCCCGCTTCTGTGGTGAACCACTGGAACTGGGCCTTTGCACCTGCGGACCATGCTCCGCTCCTCCGCAAACGGAGGTGCGGGCATCATTCCCGCTCCCGCGCTAGCCTCCGCTTCTGCGCTCAACCTCTCCGCATCCGTGACCACACAGGTGCGGACAATCCTTCACACATGCGACCACATCCTTTCTCACTCCTGGGCGCATCTGGGCTCCCCAGCTCGCACCTGTGACCAAAGATCCGCATGTGCAATTGCACCAGAAGACTCCTAGCTTCAGGAATCTTCTAAATCTCATTTTCGATCCTTTAACCGTCTGAAATCAACCCAAGGCCCCCGGGACATCAACCAAACACACCAACAAGTCCTGAAACACATACAAACTTAGTCCAGCCCTCGAATCATATCAAACAACATAAAAAAACAAAAATTCAAGCCTAATGAAACTAAGGAATTCCAACTTCTACAAACGATGCCGAAACCTATCAAATCACGTCCCATTGACCTCAAATTTTGCACACAAGTCATAAATGATTCCGCAGACCTACTCCAACTCCTGGAACCCCATTTCAAGCCCAGTATCCACAAAATACACTCCTAGTCAAACTTCTAAATTTCCAACTTTCGCTCCTTCAAGCCTAATTCTACTGCGGACCTCCAATTAACAATCCGGACAGACTCCTAAGTCCAAAATCACCCAACGAAGCTAACAGAACCATCAAAACTCCATTCCGGAGTCGTCTACACAAAAGTCAACATACGGTCAACCTTTTCAACTTAAGCTTCCAACCTTGAGACTAAGTGTTTCAATTCATTCCGAAACCTCTCCGGACTCGAACCAACTACCCCGGCAAGTCACATAACGACAATTAAGCAGGGAATGAATAGTAAATGGGGGAACTGGGCTACAAATCTCGAAACCACCGGCCGGGTCGTTACATCCTCCCCCTTTTAAATAAACGTTCATCCTCGAACGGGTCAAGAAACGTATCTGGAGTCTCAAATAGGCGTGGATATCTGCTCTGCATCTCTTGCTTAGTCTCCCAAGTAGCTTCCTCAGCTGTCTTACCTCTCCATTGCACCTTCGCTGAAGCTATGTCCTTTGACCTCAACTTTCGAACCCACCAATCCAAAATGGCCGCCGGCTCCACAATATAAATCAAAACACCATCCAACTGAACCGTGCTGAAATCCTAAACATGAGACGGATCACCGACATACTTCCGGAGCATAGAAACATGAAATACTGGATGCACACTCAACAAATTAGGTGGCAAGGCAAGCTTGTAAGCCACCTCTCCAATCCTTTGAAGTACCTCAAACGACCCAATATACCGAGGTCTCAACTTGTCCTTATTCCCGCACCTCATAAAACACTTCATGGGTGACACCTTAAGCAATACCTTCTCCTCAACCATAAAATCAATGTCATGAACCTTCTTATCGGCGTAACTCTTCTGTCTAGACTGCGTCGTGCGAAGCCAATCGTGAATCAATTTAACCTTGTCCAAAGTATCCTGAACCAAGTCATTACCCAATAGTCTAGCCTCACTAGGATCAAATCAACCCACCAGAGATCGACACCATCTCCCATACAAAGCCTTATACGGAGCCATCTGAATGCTCGATATGTAGTTGTTGTTATAGGCAAACTCCGCGAGCGTCAGAAACTGATCCTAAGAATCCCTGAAATCAATGACACAAGCACGTATCATGTCCTCTAATATTTGAATAGTGCACTCTGACTGTTCGTCCATCTCAGGGTGAAATGTTGTGCTCAACTCAACCAAGGTCCCCAACTTTCGTTGTACTGCTCTCCAAAATTGTGTGCCCCAATCTGAAATCATGGACACTAGCACACCATGAAGGCGAACAATCTCGCCGATGTAAATCTCAGCCAACCGTTCCGAAGAATAAGTAGTCCCAACGGAAATGAAGTGCGTGGACTTGGTCAGTCGATCCGCAATCACCCAAATAACATCACACTTCCTCAAAGTCCGTGTGAGCCCAACTCCAAAATCCATGGTGATATGCTCCCATTTCCACTCTGGAATCTCAAGCCTCTAAAGCAATCCACCCGGTCTTTGATGCTCATACTTCACCTGCTGACAGTTAAGGCACCGAGATACAAATCCCATTATATCCTTCTTCATTCTCCTCCACCAATAATGCTTCCTCAAATCCTTGGTAAATCTTCGCGACACCCGGATGAATGGAATACCGCAAAATGTGGGCCTCCTCAAGAATCAACTCACGTAACCCATCTACATTGGGCACACAAATTCGCCTCTGCATCCTCAACATCCCATCATCCCCGATAGTAACATCCTTGGCATCACCGTGCTGAATCGTGTCCTTAAGGACAAGCAAATGAGGATCATCATAGAGGGGCTCTCTGATGCGATCAAATAAGGAAGACCGAGAAACTACACAAGCTAGAACCCGATTGGGCTCCGAAACATCTAGTCTCACGAACTGGTTTGCCAAGGCTTGGCCATCAACTTCAAGAGGTCTCTCACCAACAGGAATGAATGCAAGGCTACCCATATCACCGCCTTTCTACTCAAGGCACCGGCCACCATATTGGTATTCCCGGGATTATACAGAATGGTAATATCTTAGTCCTTTAACAGCTCTAACCATCTCCACTGCCTCAAATTTAGATCTTTTTGTTTGAACAAGTCCTGGAGACTCCGATGATTCGCAAATACCTCACAACACACCATAGAGATAATGCCTCCAAATCTTCAATGCATCAATGATGGCAGCCAACTCCAAAGTATAAACAAGGTAGTTCTTCTCATGAGGCTTCAACTTTCGCGAAGCATAAGCAATCACACTATCCTCTTCCATCAAGACACACCCAATACCGATCCAAGAAGCATCACAATACACTGTATAAGAGCCGGAAGCTGAAGGCAAAACTAGAACTGGAGCTGTGGTTAAGGCAGTCTTGAGCTTCTAAAAGCTCTCTTCACACTTATCCAACCACCTCAAAGTAGCACCCTTCTGGGTCAATTTAACCAAAGGCGATGCAATAGACGAGAAGCCCTCCACGAAGCGACAATAATAACTAGCCAAGCCGAGAAAGCTCCGAATCTTAGTAGTTGAGGATGGCTTGGGCCAACTCTAAACCACCTCTATATTCTTTGGATCCACCTGAATCCCCTCACTGGACACCACGTGCCCCAAGAATGCTACCGAACTAAGCCAAAACTCATACTTGGAGAGCTTGGCATAAAGCTTCTCCTCCCTCAGCTTTTGTAGTACAATCCTCAAATGCTGGGCATGCTCCTCCTGGATACGAGAGTACACCAGGATATCATCAATGAATACTATGACAAATGAGTCGAGATAAGTCTGAAATACACTATTAATCAGATGCATGACCGCTGTTGGGGCGTTGGTCAGCCAGAAAGACATCACAATGAACTCATAATGACCATAACGGGTCCTGAATGCCGTCTTCAGAATATCCGAGTCTCGAATTTTCAACTGGTGATACCTAGACCTCAAATCAATCTTGGAGAACACCCTCGCTCCCTGAAGCTGGTCAAATAGATCATCAATGCACGACAAAGTATACTTTTTCTAGATTGTAACTTTGTTCAACTGCCTATAGTCGATGCACATCCGCATAGTACCACACTTCTTCTTCACAAACAGATCAGGTGCACCCCAAGGCGACACACTTGGCCTAATAAACCCCTTATCAAGAAGTTCCTAAAGCTGTTTTTTCAATTCCTTCAACTCAGCCGGTGCTAATGATACGGAGGAATAGAAATAGGTTGAGTGCCCGGTACCAAGTCAATACCAAAGTTAATATCCTTGTCGGGCGGCATGCCCGACAGATATGCAGGAAACACATCCGGAAAGTCTCACACTACCGGAACAGAATCAATAGTAGGAGTATCAGCACTAACATCCCTCACAAAGGCCAAATACGATAAGTAACCCTTCCCAACCATCCGTTAGGCCTTCAGATATGCAATCAATCTGCTGGGAACATAATCTAGAGAACCTCTCCACTCGATCCTTGGCAACCCCAGCATCGCCAACATCACGGTCTTAGCGTGACAATCTAGCATAGCATGATATGGAGACAACCAATCAATACCCAAGATCACGTCGAAATCAACCATACTAAGCAATAAGAGATCAACTCTAGTCTCCAATCCCCCAATAGTCACTACACATGACCGATATACATGGTCCACAACAATAGTATTGCCCACAGGCATGGATACATGAATAGATGAGACTAAGGACTCACGGGGCATATCTATATAATGACCAAAATATGATGATACATACGAATAAGTGGAACCAGGATCAAATAATACAGAAGCATCCCTGTGGCATACTGAGACAATACATGTGATCACTACATCTGAAGCAACAACATCTGGCCTGGCAGGAATAACATAGAATCGGGCTTGACCTCCACCTAATCGGCCTCCCCCTCTAGGGCGACCTCTAGCTGCCTGGGCTCCACCCCGAGCTGGCTGGGCGGGTGGTAGAGAAAATGATATGGAAGTTACAGCCTGACTCCTCTGCTGCACTGAACCTCTCAGATGGCGAGGACACTGTCTCCACATATGCCCAAACTCCCCGCACTAAAAACTACTCCCCGGTGGTGGTGGGGACTGAATCGGACCCTGAATACTAGAGTAACTACTAGAAATACCTGGCATAGATGAACCCTGAACTAATAGAGCGCGGAATGATCTTTGAGCTGGAAGGTCAATGAGAGATGACTGACCCTGATGGGAACTATATGGACCATGGCTGGATGATGTACCACGATGAACTAGATGATCCATCTGGGCGTGCCTATAAGGACAACCCCTGTTGTGGTTGAACTGACCCCTAAAAGGAATACCGATGAAACCACCTGATCCACAAGGCCTCTTGGCCTCCCTCTCTTCACGCTCCTGGATATGAACCATCTCTAGCCGCCGAGCAATATCAACCACCTCGTCGAACCGAGCACCAGATACACTTTCCCGAAACATAGCAAAACGCAATTGATAGGTGAGGCCATCAATGAACCTCCTAATCCTCTCCCTCTCAGTGGGAACCAACCAAACCGC